ACAACAACAACAACAACAACAACAACAACAACAACAACAACAACAATAATAATAATAATAATAATAATTTTTATTACAACGCTTTGTAAATTGTTTCAAGCAGTATATGCAACTTTTGCCTGAACGTTAAAAAAAAGAGAGGTGTATGGGTTGTTCTTTGCTGAGGGTACTCATTTTTTCACGTTTGTGACTCTTTAAAGAGACATGTTTGCTCCATTTTGGTTGCCGCAACGCTCTGACAAGAGCGTAATGATCTCCGAACAGAGTTAACGTGTCTCTCTAAAGAGAGCCGTACGCGCGGCAAGTTAGTCCTTATGGATGAAGACAATACTTTGAAGCCTTACGCTACATAGCGCGAGCCTTCATCACCTCTCTCTCTCTCTCTCTCTCTATATATATATATATATATATATATATATATATATATATATATATATATATATATATATATATATATATATATATATATGGAAAGAAGTGTATACTTATTAAGGGTTTGTTTTTCCGCGTTTTGACACGATAATAATGAAATCTAACGGACAATATTGCCGAGGAAAGTATAGGGGAGATTATTAGAGCGAATGGTAAGGTAAATGTGACGAAAGAAAAGTGGGTGAAAAGATAACTTGCCGTGGGCAGGATCCCAACCTGCGTTATCTTTTCACCCACTTTTCTTTGTTCTCATTTACAATACAATTGGCCTAATAACTTCCCCTATACCTTCCTTGGCATTATTGTCTGTTAGATCTTATTAATATTGTGTAAACACGAAAAGCGAGCCCTTAAATATACACTTGTTTCCCTTATTCATTAACGAGGGTCTCGTACTGGCAGACTTGGTGCCTTTAGGTTGTATACGAGGGACTATTTGGTCAGCTGCCAGTTAGTAATAAGTTCACGTGCTACGTGACGCCAAACAGGCTCATAAAGAGTGCGCCACACTCGCCACCTAGGCTACTAGTTGCGCTGACTGACACTCCCACGGTCAAACTGACATAGATACCCAACAAAGTGGCAGGGGGGATAGCTGTCGTGGTAGCTCAGTGGTAGAGCATCGAACGCGTTATTCGAAGGTCGCAGGTTTGGATCCTGCCCCCGGCAAGCTATCTTTTCACCCACTTTTCTTTCTTCTCATTTACAATACAATTGGCCTAATAACTTCCTCTATACCTTCCTTGGCATTATTGTCTGTTAGATCTTTATATATATATATATATATATATATATATATATATATATATATATATATATATATATATATATATATATATATATATATATATATGGCTTTTTAAAGACGGCGACGGCACAATACCCTCAGTTTGCGTCGTCGTGCAAGCGACGAACGCCTTTTCGAACGGTGGTCCAGTGTTGTTGGCAACGCAAGTCACGTTGTCATGTGACGCGGAATCAATGTGGCGCAATGTGTGTTACAGCATGGGCACGCTTGGTCAAGTACGGTTGTGGGGTTTATTCGTTTTGACGCGACGAAATCAAGCTCACGACACGCCCACACGAGTGGAGGAAAAAACAAAATGCCTCGCTGTCGATTCTCGGCATCCGTAATTCAATCTACGAAGTCTTCTGCGCCATCTGGTATTTCTGCCAATTCCTTCTCCTATCCGGAATAGCGTTTACGACGGCACTACAGGTGGTGTAAACAGAAAAAGGCAACAGTAACAGCGGCAGATATTTACGAAGGTATCGAGCAAACACTAAAGAAGAAATACGCGTGACAATACATATAGACCCACTCATTCGTATAGCCATTCGCGGTCCCCTTAAACCAATTTATCAAAACATGGTAAATAAAGAAAACGTTCGTCATCGATTCGCAGAAACGTACACTCCAAACAAAACAAAACAAAAAAGCTTGGTCGCGAGGAATTGCTTTCTGCGTTCTGTTTATATTCCGAGCAGGATTTGTAAACACCGCGGTCTTGCTTTCGTTTGCTTTGTTGCTTGTTTGGCTACGATCTCGCTATATTATGTCACAAACGGATCGAGAAGTGCAAAACGGTGAATAAGAAAATAAGCGATAATGGCGGGATTGATGAAATGCATCGATAAGCTATTACGAAATAGCACGAACCCGATGATTCTGGAAATTACCACGTGAAGTGTACCTCGGTGAGCTGTTGCAACGGGCCTGAACACAATGTATGAAGAAATAAACCTGCGAAGTGAACAAGAGAGGCGTAATGTCGTGATTATCCCTGTAGAGTGCAAATGAAAAAAAAACGAACAAGAAAACTGGGAAACCGAAAGAAAAAAAGAGAGACAGAAGGGTAAGAGGTTAACTGCAGAAAATTTCCCACTCACTACCCTTTACATGAAAAATAAGAAAAATGGTGTAAAGGCATGAAAAGGGCAAGCTTTTGAGAACACTTCTTGCACAAAAGAAAATGTTATATTTGTATTTTTCTGAAGAAAGCAAGCTTCAGTGCCCCTCTCTCTGTTTTTAGCTTTTCTCTTTTTAACGTCCTGAAGAAAGAATAAAACAACGTTGATAAAAGACGGCAGGGGCATATAACTTCGTCGAAAAATAATTCGTAACTGTAGGAAACCTATGATAAGTCCTACAATTTGTTTGCCCTTGGTGGAGTGAACGTGTGTTAGGAGTCAGTATAAGAATATTTACTTGCAGCCACGTCCCGCGCTAAGGCCAATAAAAGAAGACTGTTTGAAGAATCAGATTCGTGAGAAGCGCCGCCATTTCGCTGCTGAAATCATTGTAAAGGATCCATACTTGCGACTAAACCTGGCAGACTTTGATGCTAGCAAGAGCAATAAACACATGTGGAGCACTGATCTTCATCAAACTTAGATAGATACACAACTGTCAGTGTTAATGCATACATATTCATGCAGTGGTATATTTATATACCTCGTTTAAAATATTAATTTTCGATCTTCAATTAAAACTGCTGTTCTCTCTTTCTCTTTACGATTTCTTATGCATAAGCCTATATGCTTAATGAACACATGTTTTATCGCTCACAAGCTATTTGTAACTAATTCCAGTTTTTCTTTACAAAAGTAAGTATGTGTGTGGCGGAGGAAGTGGCTGGAGGCTGAGACAGGAATAATTATCTCTTGCACAAACACAGCCAATGTTGTTCTTGAATGTTCAGGTGGTATAGCGCGACTGTTTTCAAGCTCTGTCGCACAAAAATGAAATTGATTGATTTGTGGGGTTTAACGTCCCAAAACCACGCTATGATTATGGGAGACGCCGTAGTGGAGGGCTCCGGAAATTTCGACCACATGGGATTCTTTAACATGCACCCAAATCTGAGCACACGGGCCTACAACATTTCCGCCTCCATCGGAAATGCAGCCGCCGCAGCCGGGATTCACACCCGCGAACTGCGGGTCAGCAGCCGATTACCTTAGCCACTAGACCACCGTGGCGGGGCCAAAATTGAAATTGAAGTGCAAGTTATACCACGCGACTTTCCGTTGTCATTGAATTTCGTTGTCTCTGATTTGAGCGGAGTAGCCTGCATGGGCCTGCTGTAGCTTGTTATTTATATCTGTACAAAGCCTCTTCTTTCAGTGAAGTTTTCTTTCAGAAATGCTCTCGAAGTATTCAATATAAACCGATGTCTTCTTCACGCACCAAACTTTGGTTGTTTCCATTACGTACATTACGTAATGTTGAACACTGACGCTTTGGTAGGGTTTTTTTCTTAAAGTAATTCGCAAATAAATACAGGATACCGTAAATGGCTACATCTTTGTGCGCAGTATCCATCCAGAACTCCAGTGCTTAGCAACATTAGCCACTTAGAGTGTCGTTTGAGCTGCACGGGGTGGAAATTTTGGGAAGGTTAAGAAACCGTGTACTGTCGTATTGTGCTTAGCACTTCAAGAAGCGCTTAGAATTGCCACTATTAACCAGTATTCCCCGTGCTGGTTTTAATGAGTAAGTTGCTGTAGGTCTCACACATGCCGGCTTACTAGACACTTGCACACTTCAATGTTGTGTACGTGGGTTTAGTTATGCTATGCATTACTCAAAAGTCATCAAGGCAAAGCGTTATTGCACTTGTGCCACCGAGCCACCGATATTTCCTGGCGGGATTCAATGAATTCGTATTTCTCACCGAGCACCACTGCCATATCTACACGCAGAAGAGTAGCACTGATTGGGATTGAGTACCGCTTACGATGGGGGGGGGGGGGGGGGGGTTAGAAAAAGGGGGTAACGATTTAGAGCACAGGGTACTCTACTATGGGAGAGCTTAAAGCCGTCCAGACTCGGGACAGTTAGCGTGCCCAATTTTCATACTATGACGCCTAATGCAAGGCTGTTGTTGGCGGTTGTGTTTGCCGACGTGACCAGGCCCACCGAGCTCTCCTTACATTTATGAACCAAACGGACGTGGCCACCCTTTTATAGACAGTATTTTGTATTTTTTATTTATGTTTTTTATTCAAACTCATTGAAGTCTTCGTCATTCTTTTTCATTCCTCATCTTCTTTCTTCTTTCTTTCCTCTAATCTTCGTTTCCTCTGTTTCTACCCTCCTCCCGAAAGAGTGAGAAGGCGTTGTGCCCCTCCAGGTGGCAGTTGCCAGCTTGTTCTCTCCCTCTTTCCTCCGTGTCCTTGTGTGTCTGCGTATGCAAATAAATAAATATATTGTTCGCTACAGCTGCTTGGATTAGTGCGAATGTCGGACAGTGATGACCACGTGGTCGGCGATATTTACCGATATTGAACTCCTGCTGGCAAACGCCGGCTGCGGTCACTAAATGATGGGCGCCAGTGCCACCTAACATGACGCTATTGTCTTCATTCGATCAAGGCCTGGTTATCCAGTTTTATACAATATTCTCATGCCCTATGAAACATCACTACTTGCTTGCTAGTATTCGTTCAACTAAAAACTATTGTTCGGCCGAGTACAAAAGCCGACCGAAAAGTGCTTCAGAATATTTCACGGCTTCGTCCTTCGTCGCGTTGAACGAACCTCTTGGCCGCTGTGTACCTCGCAGGTGTGCCGGTGCCATCGGTCACGTGGCGACGTGACGGTGCCGAGTTGATGCGCGAGATGGAGCCGGGCTCTCGCGACTTGGATGGCGTGGTGCGCAGTTCCGTCGTCATCGACACCCTGACGCGCGACGACCTCCTCATGGAGCTGAGCTGCGAGACCAGCAACATCATTGGCGGACCTTTCGAGGCCTCGGTGCTCGTCGACCTGACGCGTGAGTATAACACTCAAGCGTCCCTTTTTTGTTTTTTTTTTGTTTTTTTGCAGGGAAATTTAGAAGATTATGGGGTTTAACATTATTGATTCACCTTTTTTTTCGTTTTTTCGTTCATGCAAACGTTGCTTTTTTGTGCTTCGCAATAGTAGTGTAGTGGCTGCGGTTCTTGACAGCTGAATTGAAGGTCACGGGATCGAGTCCCGGTCGCGGTGGCTGCATTTGCCTGGAGGAGGAAGTGCTAGATGTATGTGCACTTAGAATTATGTGGGTGTTAAGGAAAACCTCGGTTTAATAATAATAATAATAATAATAATAATAATAATAATAATAATAATAATAATAATAATAATAATAATAATAATAATAATAATAATAATAATAATAATAATAATAATAATAATAATAATAATAATAATAATAATTTATTTACTGTGCCCTGGAACATCCGTGGGGTCTTAGTCATTACTTCGTTTTGATAGGTGACCCACACTCACACATAACAAAATAGGTGTAAACATCCATTCGCGGGGTTTGTAATGGAATAACCATTCTAGTATGTACTATATACTCCCTTAATAACTAATTAGTAAATGTTTGCTGACCTGCATTTCATTACCATCACTTACTAAGACGGTAGTGCATTTTGTGACAAGCGAATGATTAGTATTTAGTTAGTGGCTATGCCGAACTTTCTTGAGAGTGTAGGGTTTCAATCGACTCGGGGTTTTCTCACAGCGACCGTCGCCTTTTACGTCGTATAGTATTTTCTCGTTGTACGTAGTCAGGATTCTCGGCTCTTAGCGAGTGGTGAGAGGTGAATTCGCTGTTACATTTCTCAAAGTACACATGTCTGAAAGAAGGAATTAACAGAGCTAACACGGGAATAAGGAAAGAAGACACGTTAACGGGCGTTGGTGAGCTTAGGCGCATTCATAACTCACCATCACAAGAACAGAGAGAACCAAGCAACGCTATAAAGGCTGTTGGAAAAAAGTGACTCTCGTTATATCAGCAGTGCCCGAGACCCACGTTTAGTCAGGTTTAGTCGGGAGACGCGGTTGTCACAAATGCAACATCGAGAACATCCGATCTTTGTGTTACACAACAACGCTATACCAGTAAGCGTAGCAGTCCATATTTTCTGCCGTGGTACATATATTTGTAACGCCCCTCGCAACTTCCAGCATTCCTTGCGTCTTAAAGTGTACATCTGTGTACGACACACAGCTTCACACACCGTCAAAGGTACATCGCCAGCAGCGGAAGACATCGCATCGTGCTTCCTATCTATCCTCTACCAATGCGCAAAACAACCGAAGCAGTAAAACGAAGAAAAAAAACAACGAGGAATTGCCACTCGATGTTCTCGCGTCAACTTCACGCTATCGGACAGTTTAATGGCCTAATGTTGCACTGACAGCAGAAACGGCTCCTTTCGACGAAGGCTACCAGCTCTGCTGCACTTTACGCACCGGAAAGGGAACTCCCGCAAACTTCCGATGCCCTGGAGCAATCGTGCACGGAAGCGCAATGTGGTCGATAAGAAGTTTATTTCCTGTGGCAGCAGAACCTCATACTAAACCTCTCTATAAGCAGCGCCACCAACGCGTGAGCCACGTGGCATCGCAGTGAGTAATGGATTTGACTAAACTTCACGATGACGCAAATGATAGCCGACTAGTTTGCAAAGGCACTAAACATCCCGGTTCAATCTTTGCTTCCCGTTTCACGCAATTTTTCTTCTGCATACCATACTTTTTCGCATGTGACCCACCCCTGCATATAGCCCGCACCCCAAACGTTTACTCTGCAAAGCTTAAAAAGGAATATACGTGTATATGCCCTGCGCAAACCGCGCACACCACTTTTCATGTACTTGTACATGAAAAGTGGGTTGCGGCTGTTTTTTGTGTCAGTTATATGCGAGAAAATACGGCATTTATACCACAAATCAAGCGCTCCTATATTATGCCTAGTTTGTATTCAAAGCTCCGTTAAGCTTGAAGGGTCTGTTTCACTACGAGCTTCAAAATTTTCTACAAAAAATCATAGACTCCACCTTTATTTTCTCCTAATTTGAGAGTGAACAACAAGCATGCGCTTATTCTCAAACGCGCGAATATCACCTTATGCAAGTTTAACATTTATTATTTTGCCTCTCTCGTGTTGAAGCCCTTACTTCTTTTATAATTTATTTTTGTTTTCATCTTTGGCTCGTCACTCATGGCCAAAGCCTGGCAAAAAAATTGCATTCTACTATTACTTACCCAAAAGAAATGAATATATATTTTGCGCGCACGGCCCGCTAGGACTGAGGCTAACCAAATTTTTCTCACCAAAGATCACCCGAGCTCAGACTCGAAGCCTGATTTTTGTCTGAGTAAGTAAACTTAAGAGTTCTTTATTGCCGACCAATGCTCATAGCCGCAGCCTTATGTACTTTAAGGCTTAATCTTGTCCAACGGGATAAATGATTGAAAGCACTAGAACAGGCCAGATTTGGCTGTATTCATCAAGTAGTGTGGTTCGAGCAGCCGTATATTGCATGTCAGTGCTTTCATCGCATAAAGACGTAACACATGGAAGAAGTAAAAACTTGGCGTGCAATTATTATGCAACTTTCGATGCGTGTTTAATAGCGCAACTTCCGATGTTGTCCGCTCTGGAACACCTCATCTGGTCTTAAATTATTGCGTCGATGTAGCGGACGTAGCTTGTCTCGCTTTGGTTCTGTCTTCAAGACGGACAACTAGTTACATTCACATCAGGTCGACTTCTCAGACACATCTCACTGGTAATAACCTGCAAGACCCGTTGAAGCGGGCACTCCTCCCCCCCCCCCCCCTCAAAGTTCCAATGATACCAGTGGGTCGATGCTTTAACGGGCGCTTAATGGCGTGGTCTACTTTGCCAACTGGCGCAATGCCAAGCTGTCCACGTCATTAGCCCAGTACGTTCAAGGGATGACCCTTAGCCCGGCCATGAGCGCGTAGCAGATACGAATGTTGAAAGCGTCTGTTTTCGTCACTTCTGACTCATCAGACGTGTTGATAGAGGAGCGGTGACATCTATTTCTGTCTATCGCTGAAATATATCAAGCTGCAGCCTGTCGTTATGTGGAATGAGCTGCAGTGCGCACACACACACACACACACACACACACACACACACACACACACACACACACACACACACACACACACACACACACACACACACACCACACACACACACACACACCACACACACACACACACGCACGCACAAACACATACACGCACGCACGCACACACGCACACACACACACACACGCTCTCTCTCTCTCACACACACACATGGATACTATTACCCAGCTATCTCGCTTGCAACATGTCGTAGAATCAATACCCCAACCGTTTTTCGAAGGCAATCATATTGACACAATTCTTTATTGCGGTTCAACGATACCTGAGGGATACTTTTTCTCTCTCTTTTTATTAGGACTTCTTGTTCAATATTGTGCAGTCAGTTCCTCTTGCAACAATTTAATAGCCTTGGCCCACTGTGCTGTCTCTCCTCGCACTCGCCATCTTTTCCTTGTGTTTTTCCGGCCTCGTTTGTAGCTTATCACCGTTCCGCTTCGTTACAAAATTACTTGCCATTACTAATAGCTCTTACAGACGTCCTGTCTCTTTGGTCATTAGGAATGGTGAACGCTCAATTTTTATTCAGCCCTCTGATGCCAGGCGGCGAAATTGGATATGCCTCTGGCTGCCCTAATTACGGATGTTCACTAGTTACTACTAGCTCAGGCTCATTAGACTAAGCTGGCACGTATTGGCTGAAGAGGTCCCTTGACCAGATAATCGGAAGAAAGAACGGTGTGCGTAAAGTCTAAACACTCAAAATGTTGAAACATTTCTAAGGCGACCTAACGAATTCCGGTAGCACATGGAATGAAGCAGTACAAAAAGCCGTCTGTATTCCACCCTGTCAACTGCAGTATTTGCATGTAAAACGTAGTGACAAAGTATTCGATATACTAAGAATCAAGCGTTGTATCCCGCAAGTAGCACGTACGGTGCTAGGGCAGTATGAAGAACCAGTAATGGTGGCCGTTCAGAGCTGTCTAATCGCTAAATTTGGATTTATGGTCCTGTTATAAAACTCGTGGAGTGCTCTTCCTTGCTTATATGCTCGCATTCAGTGAATTTATTCATGATTTCTCAACAGAGGACAAAGAAAATGAAATGCTGAAAGCTATTATGCAGGAGACAAGACAGCGTGCTTTTTTAACCGCCGAGAGAGCTTTCGAACGAAATTTTTCCGGACGTTTTCTATTTATCATTATTACCGTCTATAACAAATATCAGCAAACATCTTAGCGTAAATGAAAGGAAATTTACCATCACTTGTTTCTAGCACAGTCCCACTTGCAAGCTTATACAAATATTTCACTAAGAAAGCTTTTTAATTGCTGAAAACTTAGTCCTGATCCTGGGTTTAAACCCGGAACCAATGCCTTCCCCAGGAGGCGGGTCGCTCTACAAGCTGAGCTCACCAGAAAGCTGGAAATTGTCAGTGCGAGGGGAATTCATCCACAATTCCATACACATGGACACATATTATCTTGCGGGATCCCGCAGAACTGATGTCCAATAGTGATGTAGTTTAAATGTTCGAGAAAATTATCATTGCAAAGCGTGATGTCATTAAAAGTAGTCTGAATGCTCACTTATAGATTCCTCAAAATGTTACCACACCCGATGAGTGCATGATGTTCTTTGCTAGCTTTATCTAGAATCACGTCTTCTTGCGAGACAAACGCTTTAAATTTCTAGTTAATCTGATGGTTTAATTAGTTGAAATAATTTGAAAGGTATGACTTCGCTATTGCACTTCTAATAATTGGTCTGAGTGGCTGTGTTGTCTGGTACGTCCAAAGCAGACGTCTAGCACGCGATGTCATGATTGGAGCCCACTGCTGGGTGTCGCGATTCAACGTCATAAACGGGTAA